CCCCACTTCCCTCCCCTACCAGGCCTGGTTCCCCTCTTTCTTCCCCTGCCTTTCCCTAATAAAGCTCTGGAAACTAACATTGGGTTCTGCCGTGGCCTGAGACTCTTCCTCCGGTAACCAGTGACACTTGACTATCATCCAGGGCTAGAACTCGGGTCGGCAGGCTTCAGTGGCGAGCCTTAAACCCACTGAGCAGTTTGTAGGCCCCAAGCCTCTGTCTTCACGGGACTTTCATCCTTCCCCTCAGCTCTGGCTCCACTTTACAGGCAGTGTGTGAACGCAGAGCAAGAAATGAGCAAGAGTGGCAGCTGGCGGCCTGCACTGTGCGGGTGCCGCCTGTGGTTTGCAGGGCCAGGGGCAGGCTCAGGCCCACGCTCGGGGCTTCATGCCCTGTGCTTACACTTCAGCGCTTGGAGTCAAGAAACTCGCGGACCTGCGCTAACAAGAGCAGTGGTTTCCTTCCTTCTGTCAACTGTCACCTGCTGGAATCTAAGCCTCTCCGGGGGCCACACGGCCAGTGGTAGGCGACAGTGTCTGTGACTCCATTTGCTCAGCTGTAAACCAGGGGTAACGCCATGATAGCTGGCGACTGTGGCAGCCAGATGAATCTGCTTGTCAGGACAGACTTACTTTCCCTCTCTGGCCTTCCCACCTCCACAGCCAGGCACGTTCCAGTTAGGAACGAGCTATCTGTGTTAGTTATTTAGCGCGTTCTTCCCCTGCGAGGAAATGTCACAAAACATAACAGAATCCACTAATGAGAGTTTTGTTAAGATGAGAGAGACAGACGAGTGCTCAGGCCTGTGGAGAAGAAGGAGGAGGAGGAGGAGGAGGAGGAGGAGAAGGAGGAAGCTGGGAATATGGCACCGGCTTATAAAGGCTGGGTGGCGCATGCGTACAAAGGTCATGTGGCTACTCCATGCATGCGCGTAGATCACATGGTTGCGTTGCGTGCTCTTACGCAACCATGCAAAGCCACGCGGTCCTGGTCACTCGAGATGCCTTGGCCCAGAAATGGCTATTTTGACCCGGAACTGGCTAGGCGGAAGTGTCTAGGTCCGCTGGCGTGTTGTGGATCTATCAGTCTGGATTATTGGAACCGTAAGTCTTGGATTCCCCTGGTTGCTCACTTTGCAGCCAAACTCTAGCATTTCCACAGTCTAGGCCCACGGCTGACTTCAAGACTCCACGGAGCACAGGGTGACCACAGGGACTGCTGCTGTTTCCTTGACTGCTTCACGGAGCTAAAAGCTCTCGGGAGAATCTGACATGCTGCTATTGAGGGACTTCACCAGAACCTCACACTGTTCCGGTAGTGCTGGCCCTTCACCATGTACAGTTCACTCACTCACTCATTCATTCATTCATTCATTCATTCATTCATTCATTCATTCGTGTGGGGTACGTGTGGCGTGGTGGTGCAGGTGTGGAGGTCAGAGGACAGGCCATGTGTGATAGCAGCAAGTTTCTTAATGTATTGAGCCATTTATGTGGGCTCTGGAGGTTACTTCATCTCAGTTTTGTACCTCAGTTTTCCCAGCTGTATATTGGGGTGGGGTGGTGAGTACACCCAGCCCTTCACCTCCATGAGGGTTCAACCTACAGATGCTCAAACATGTTCCTCCAAATGTGTGTCTGTACTGAGCAGGGACGAATTCCTTAGACTATCTCTACAGCACTTTCATGGTATTAAACATTCTAAGTCTAGAGAGGGTTTCAAGTACATGGAAAGACATACAGGCTTTACATGGCAACAGTACACCATTTTATGTGATCAACTTGAACATCCTCAGAGTTTGGTATCATCTGAGGATCTTTGAATCAATTAGTTTTGGATACCATGGGCTGAGTCTGGCTGGGATGGGTGTTCCATATGCTAGTGTGATGGGTGTATTCCACACCCTGGGCTGTAGGAGCATATCCATGGCAAAGGTTGTGGTGAGGGATCTGTCCAGGCGCGGTTCATATGCTAATGCGCATGGGTAGCCTAATTGAGTTTGTTTGTACCAGAGAGTGCATTTCCCGTTATACTCGCAATTGGGTCAGGGCCATGTGACAGTGAGGGAGACAGAGTTGGCGTTGGCCTGCACTACATCCCCAGTTGTCCTCCTGCCTTGTCTTCTCCAGAACAGCTGGTGACCTCTCCAGAGAGGGAAGAGAGCCACCCGGAACTGCCACCTGCGTAACTGTGGGAGCGAGCACATCCTGGGGAAGCCGCTGACACCTGCTGGCTTGCTCATTTCAGGTCTGCCTCGCCGACTGAAATATGAACATAGCACTGAACAGAATGCAAGTTACAGGACTTTCAAAGCGAAGACAAACGAGCCTTGGATAAATGACTGCCTCTGACCTGTCGGTCTGTGGCCTCCTTCCCCAGTACAGCCAGGGGCAGACCCTGTGACCACTGAGGCCAACCTGCTGACCCTGGCAGTAGCTCAGGGCAGGTCCACGTACGTGGCGAGTGCCAAGTGAGGAGCCAGGTGTTACCACTGCATGTCGCGGCACTCCTTCAAACTGATGCGTTACAAACTCAGTCTGGGCCTTCAAGAGTCCTCAGAACTGCTCAGCTGGGAAGGGAAATGCCTGTTGTAATGGACTGCTGCTGCTGTCCCGTCCCCCGAAATTCTGCTGATGAATGCTTACTCCAGCATGATGCTATGAGAAGGCGTGGACTTTGGGGAGTCATTAGAGCATGAACAGGACTGGTGCTCTTATGAGAGGACCCCAGACTGCTGCCACCCTCTTTCTGCCACACAAGGATACAAGGAGGAGGAAGAGAGCAGCCTGGAGGGCCCTCGTCAGAACTTGACTGTGCTGGCATCCTTTCTGATCTCGGAATTCCAAACAGGAAGAAATAAATTCCCACTGTTTATAAACCCTTCAGCTTATGGTACTTTTGCTGCAGTGAACTAAATAGATTCAGTCACCCTGGCCAGCAAGAGGCCGGTGGGGCTAGAGGTCTAGGTCATGGCTGGGTTCGGGGGGCTGGCAGAAGCCCCTGTGGTCACGAACTTGGGCCCCCAGCTCCAGGAAAGCCTGGGGTTCTCCTCACAGATGGGAGTTTCAAAGACAGGAGAGTGCTGGAGGCATTTGCTGTTGTGTGCCTGGGTGCACAGCACAGGTCCACTGTGTGACATTGGTGTGGCAGCCCTGTCCGCTCAAGGGACCGGCTAAGAGCTGGCTCGAGCTTCTGTCCTTCATGAAGAGGTTTACCTCACACCCCTAACTTGCAAGGCAGAAGGATAAGAGCCCCCTTTGGGCCCCCTCATTTGTAAAAGAATAGCCACGCGCACTGTTTTACAATGGACTCCTTACATGGTGGGGGTGATGCTGGAGCTGCTTGGATCAAAGACCGAGGTGGGGCCTGACCCTCTGAGGATTGCCATTAAGTGCCCGGGCTCTGGGGGAAGGCAGCTGGGGGAAGAGCCTCTCCGGTCTGGACAGCCTCAATTCCAAGCCCCAGAGATGTACCCTGGGTGCAGAGGACCCAGGGAACCATGCCAGGGTAACCTTGCATGCTGTCCTGCCATTTTCCTCACATAACCGGGGACTCCTGGTGGGCAGACCTGGGTCTCTCTACTGGACAGTGGAGTGAGTGGCAAAGAGCCATGGGCTGTGACGGGAGCCCGGGACAAGGAGGCTGTCGCATGTGGGAGTACAGGGCATGTGCGGAGTCCGAACGTTCTGTGAAATACTGGTGCAAAGGACCTAGGGAGTCAGTGTGCACAGCCTGCCCGAGTGGCACAGGAAATGTGCAAAAGGAATGCTTCTCTGAAGCCACTGGGGTGCGGTGGAGGGTTCCAGGGAGCTGGGGTCTCACTTTATTTTTAACTCGAGGCCATCTGCTTCCCACTTCCCACCGGGTGGGCCACAGTCTGGGAAATATTCAGAGTGAACATATGCTGCTCCTGGGGTGGGGTGGGGGTGGGGTGCTGGGACGGAGGTGTGTGCAGGGAGTGGGGATGGGGGGCTCTGTTCTCAGGAGTCATGGCCACCAGCTATGCCGGTGGGACTCTGGCCTCCTTGGTGAGAGGCCTTGTCATTTCCGTCTCTGGGGAGGAGACACAGGAGGTGACCTGACATACAAGGAGCTCAGAGAGCAAGCCTGCTCTCAGGACAGGCGTCCGTCCGTCCGTCCGTCCGTCTGCTAGGGTCTCTGACAGGTGGCTAACTTCTAACAGGGCCCAGCCTGCTGAGAGAGACTGTTTGTTGCTCAGGCAGACTGAGGTTTGGAGGATTTCCCAAACTCCTTCCTCTGAAGCCCCCAGGACTTCATGGTTCCCTAGAGTCAATAGCTCTCATGCAAACATCAACCATGAGGGGAGAAAAAAACCTAAAAGGTTCCCTTTGCTTACCAATTGCCCCCCATGAACAAACATTGTCTCCTTCACCCACCTCCAGGCAGGGTTGCTGTCAAAAATTACCACACGAAAGAGATCGTCATACCCTAGCTGTTTATACAGTAAGCCTGTGGTTAGCGACCCTCGGCTTCATTTTATTATTGCATTTTACGAAGTTACCAAGACAACTGAGGCTGTAACAGAGCCTTGAGTACATGCGCCATGAAAATTTAATAAAGAATTTTGAAAGGCTTAAGAGGTGGGAATGGCGGGAGGGGGGGGGGTCTCAGCAGACTTCCAGGAGCCTCCCTGCCAGGGCTCACGGCCTGGGGCAGTGTTTCCCGGCATCTGTGGCTCTCAGCATATGGAGACCATGCCTTCCTCAGCAGACGTTTGTGAAGACACTTCCCAGGTGCCACGCCTCATGCCAGGCTCCTTGGGTCCACTTTGACACGATCTCTGCTGCACAGAAGAGGGATGGGTGTGAGGGCGGAACGTCGTCACTGGTCCATGGCCACTCACCAACCGTGCGCCAGACCAAGCAAGTTCACACTCCCGGCAGACTTCCAAAGCCCGGTCCTCCGGAGGAGACAGGCCTCCTTTGGCTTCTCCGTTCTGATGTGAAACAGGGAAAAACCTCTGCAGCCCAGCTGAGGCCTGGGGGAGTCGTGATGGCCCTGGGCACAGTCTGTTCAAATGCTTCCCCTTCTTGTGGAGGAAAAGTTTCCCAGGGGCTTCTGGGTGAGCAGGTTTTGTGAGAACAGGGCCACAAAGAGCCTGTGTTCCTCCGTTTTCCAGATCAGACTCGGAACAAAAAGCCAGAAATGAGGAAAACATTAGTGACTTTATCCTTTTATGCTGAGGCTCAGTGCGTGCGTGTGCGTGTGCGTGTGCGTGTGCGTGTGCGTGTGTGTGTGTGTGTGTCTGCATGTGTAAATAGAGGCAGCATGTTTTTTTCTAGTTAAAATGAAAGCAAGACTTTGGTGATGAGAGGAGGCAACCGAGAAGCCTTCCGCAGAGTTTCTTTGTCTCTGGGAACAAGAAAACAGATTGCACTATTTTGTGAGAAATAGAGTGTGGGAAAATTTCACTCACATTCATCAAATGAAATGGGAGAATGGCACAATTATCAATGGAGGCTAGGTAGGTTTCAGGCTACATTGCTCACTGGTGAAATTCCCCCATGGAGTGTGGACAGCTCTCTGCCTCTGGGAACACAGCTCCCACATGAGAGCTCATGAGTCCCGAGCTTCAAGAGAAGGCACCCAAAGCCAGTCCAGTTCTCACTTACCTCTGAGGAATAAAGGACCCTAATCAAGGAAGGAAGGTGTGCGTGTGGTGTTTGCACCATTCTAGAGTAGTACTCTGTCAATCACGAGGCCAACCCCAGACATCTGAGGAGCGGCAGGGCCTTTTTCCAGCCTGTGAATGTCTTCAGATATGTGCAGATGAAAGGCAGCTGGGAGAGGGGTGGGGTGGGGTGGGGTGGAGGTCTCACTTCAGCTTCATCCATCTCCATGAACATTATTCAAGGAAACTTTTCGTCATCTTTCCTAACGTTCCTAGGATTCTGAGAGAAGACATCACCCATATTTGGGTGGAGTCCTTATAGTCTCCGTGGCCCCAGGGTCTTCCTTGGGGGCCCCAAGTCCCTAGGATTCCCAGGTATGCTCTGATGGCACATGCAGCTTCCCGCCACATGGGCTGCCACGTCTGCTCAGCTGGGCTGTGGAGGGCGTCAGAAGGACTGGTGACGTCCTTGCCTTCACTGGGTAGCTTGGAGGATCAGACGAGAAGAGAAATTTAAAAGAAACCTTTGAACTGTGAAGCACCAAGAACATGTTCATTCACACAGAAAAGGGGTCTCTAGAATAATCTAGAAAGGCATGGAATGTTTTTCAAATGCCTGTCCAGCTCTACTCCTGAGTAGCCACATCCACACAGACTGTCTTCTCCGAATGTGTGGTGTAGCATTAGATGGGGAGACAGGGTGGATACCCATGAGGAGCAGCTTGAAGGCCGCCTGGCCTAGCAGTCCTTGGAGGGCAGGGCTGAAGGGGAGGGGGTGGCCCTCAGGAATAGGCCTAGGACCTGAGCTGAAGGTCCCATGGAATCTGTCCATGGAGAGACTCAAGGATCCGCAAAGCCATTGTCCACTCATGGGCTCATGGGACAGCTACCATGCTTGGGGAGGGGATCAGCCAATTGGGAATCTGGGGATGTTCAGCCAATCAGCTCAGTGAAGCTTAGAAAGCTGTGATTTGTAAGAGCATCCACAGCATGTGGAGAGGGGACATGTCTCCTCACCTACAGCTACTCAGTTCCTGTCACTCTGGGTCTTAGCAGCTGACCTGGCCTCTCCCTCAAGTCACAGCTGGGTTCCCACAGTTAAGCGTGTCAGTGGAGGGCCTTTCTGCGTTCCTGGACATACATGGAAGAAGCTGTTCATCCTGGGAGGGGGAGGGGGTGGGTGGGGTGAGCTATAGCAGGGCTCTAGAGCTGAGCCTCAAGAGGAAGTTGTTTCTGTTGGCTAGAGGGATCTGACTGGACCAGGTAGAGGTACCAGCGGCCTGCCAGGGTCTTCCTGCCAGTGAAGAAATGGCCCACTGTTTTCATGACAACAGATTCTAAGAGTGCTAGGAGTCCAGAGGTCCAGTCCAGGACTGTGGGGGCTTGTGGCTCCTAGGGAAGAAGAGGAGGGCCTTGATCAAAAGGCCCTTGACTGGGGCACTTTCAGCAGGGATTCGAAGGCTCCCTGGTGTTCTTGCTCCCTTCCAGAAGCTGGGGGGGCAGGGGGAGACTGAGGGGTATGGGGGCAGAGGCATGGCTGTTTCTGGGAGAGACTTGCTGAGGTCTGAACTAAGAAGACATAAAGTTCCCTGGGATAATATAAGGAGAAACACACAGCCCCACCCCCGCCGCCAGGAGGCTTGTGTGTGGAAGCAAGAGGCTCCGGGAGGCCCTGTTCTGCCGTGGGGGGGTACGGGGGACGGACGGAGGGACGGACAGAGTGGACATCTGGTAGGACCAGCATTTCAACAGTTCCACTGAATCCTGTGTCCTTGGAGGCTCCTTTTGGCTAGGCTCGTGGGCCGCAGCCCCGCCTCCAACAGATGAAAAGCTGAGCCCGGTCTGCAGGCTGGGCCCTCTCAAGGGGCCTCTACAGAAGGGACTTAGGCCACAGCTGGGCACAGAGCATGCCATGCTCAGCTGTGCCTGCCTGGGCTCTCTGGTGTTCCTCCTTCCATGCAGGGGGAAGGGGCCATCTGAATAGCTTTCATTTCAGTCACACCTTGCAGAAGGTGAGGTCACCAAAGTGAGTCTAGATATTAGTGCCACTGAACAATGGAAGTGAGGCAGAAGTCTCCTACTGTTCACTCAGAACAGAGTGACCCAAAATTCTGACAGTATTGGGGCGGGGCCAACTTGTCCGTAATGGGCTTCCCTGACCATCACTAGAGTCAAATCCTCAAGGGCATGAAGCCTCCCAAAGTCATGAGCAACCGACTGAGCAGCTCTGTAACCATGGAACCAACAATGACAGGCGGCGTAGAGAGGCCATCTCTCACCATGAATGCTGACATATCTATATTACCTCAACGTGGCTGCACATGCCTCTTGAACCCATTTCCTCTCTGCTCCGTGCTGGCAAGCACTTTGGGAAGACTCATTTTGAGAAAAAGTGTCAAGTCAAAGCTCTGTTTAACAGCCCTGTACAGCTCCCGGTTGGCCAACAAGGATGCCCACAGCAGAGCATTCGAGAACACTGATTGCTCTGGTCTAGAACCCCACACCTCTCCACACACTTCTGCTTGCCCTGCCTCTCAACTGGGCCTTACATTCTCCCTCTGAACCCTCCCCTCACCCAGGGCTGACAGCACAGTGCTGGGTGGGTACACAGTGGCTCTTGGCCATTGGGTCAGCACCCCACCTTTGCTGGGGTCCCCTGGAAGCTGGACGGGAAGACGGAAGAACCCATTACTTCTTAATTATTTCTTAAATAGTAATAAATTAAACATTGCAACAGGCAAGTTAATGAAATAAGTGAGGTTAATCTGTTAAGTACACCCATATAGCACATGATTGGGGTGTCCACCATCTTGATAGTTCTGCTTCTCTCAGAGAACAGGTGGGTGGAAAGAGCTGCTGAGATCCTGAGCTCTGACCGGCAGGCTCGCAGAGGCCCCAGCAGACCCCAAGTGTGACCTCGCAGCCACAGTTCCTTGCTTTGAGACGGTCTATCCTTTTCCCCATGCTCTGCTCCCCTGTGGCCCCAAGCACAGCAGAATTGCCCCAGATGGGGCTTCCCAGGAACCTGGAACAGTAGGTGCCATCTGTCACATCTCAGATGTCATATATCCACCGATGACTCACAAGCAGGGTGGGTCACCACGAGGTGCCGGGAGGAGGGTGGGCAAGAATTGGCCATGTGAGGCGAGAGCCCTGCAGAACACAGAGGATTCCTGGCCATTGTAGCGGGAACCCTAGTGGCTCCCCACAGATTGGGGGAGCCCGGGGTACTGAGCCCCCAAGAGCACACCTTCTTCCAGGAGGGCAGGGTGGTCTTCAGGACAGAGCGTGTCTAGAGTGAGACAGCTTGTTAGCACCGATCATACGGGGTGCGAGGCTGCCTGCCGCTGACTGGGTCCTGGCGTTCATCTCCTGGGGAGGACTGCTTTGGGGGCGCCTGCGCCGGCCGCACAGCAAGCGCTTTTCGTCCAGCAGGGACAGGTGGTATTCACACAGGTCAATCAAGGAGGCCACCTGCTCATGCAGAGGCAACATCTTGAACTTCCTCTGGGCCAGGAAGAAGAAAGCTTCCACAAATGCCTGTAGACACATCCCTGTGGACAGAGAGATGCTGTCAGTGAAGTCTAGTGCCCCAGGGAGGCTCACCCAAAGCCCAACGGCCGGCAAGAGCTTCTCTGCTCACCACACCTCCATTTGGGAAACTCCACCCAAGACCAGCACACAGGGCCTTCCCCAGGCCCAGGCACTCTGAACTTAAACAGGAAGGAGATTTAATTCTCTCTCAGAGATGGGGAAACTGAGTCTCAGAGAAGTGGAGAGGCCTGAATAGAAAGCAGAAAGCAGTGGTGCTTAGATTTAAACCTTGTCCCAAATTTTATTCCTGGGTACCATGATGAAATGTCCTCCCATGAAAACGCTGTTCCCAAACTTTCCCCATTAGAGGGGATAATCTTAGTCTCAACCCGACAATAGTGCTCTCCATTCTGACACGGGCACACACAGTCAATAGTATCTAAGGTTTATGCGTTTCACTACTTGTAAAATTTACCTCATCAAGTAAAATAAACCCAACCCCCTTCTCTTTGGTTGTCATGTGACCCCCCCCCCCCACACACACACACCACAGGGGCTTGTGTTGAGCGCTTGGTCTCGGCTAATGGCGCTCTTTGAGAAGGTTCTGGACACCAGTCTTCTGCCTGAAGGAATTTGGTCATGGAGCATGCCTTTGAAGATGTACTTGGTCCTCTGCCCCTCCACTCTTTATTTCCTATCTCCCACAGGTGACCAACCTCCTCTGCCACACGCTGCTGCCACCACGATGCTCTGCTCAAGTGTATGGGGCCAAGCAGCCGTGGACTAGCCCTCTGAGGCGGGCCGGCTAAATCCTCTGTCTTTCTCATTACAGCTGCCCCCTCAGGTGCATCTCCGTTATGGCTACATGAGAAACATGCCAGTGACAGTTACGTTCTGGGATGCGTGATGCACCATCCCCACCGTGCCCTAGAATGTTCTTCCTGACTGTACCTCGTGAGCTCCTGCCTGTCACTGGGATTTGAGCTCAAATTTCCAAGGTTAAAATTCAGCAGGTACTGGTACTGGGTTTGTTTTTCAGTGCTGGGTCCAGGACCCCAGGTCCTGTGACCTCCACAGGCACACTCTGCCACAGAGCTGTGTCCTGGCCCCACCCGCTCTGATGCCAAGTGACAAAGGAGAATGAAGCGCAGTTTCAGGTTTGTGGATAAATGAACAGGAAGTTCCCACAGGTCCTTGTCTCGCACAGCTTGCCGCAGTGTGGTCTCCTTGTCACACTTGGTCAACCAGTATGGAAGTGTCACGGGCCTCTCTGGGCCATTCTTTGCTCTGTGCAGCTCTGTGTGTTCCGGTAAATGTGAAGAAGTCAGGTGTCTCTGACTGCTCACAGGAACAGTTTCACTGCCCGACTCCCCGGCTTCCACCCACCACGCCTCCTTGGTGAAGCGCTCCTTGTTTCATTATTGAATAGCTTCGCCTTTCCCAGAGCGGCAGCAATAAGGCTGTTGGTTTTGTAGAGTGGCTTCTTCCACTCAGCAGGTGCTGTTCTGGTCTGTCCGTGTCTTTTTGTGGTTCCTTAGCTCCCTGCCACTGCCCTTCTCCATGCCCCTCCCCCCTCCAGTGCTCCCCCTCCCCAGCTCCTCCTCCCTCTGCTTTCCATTATAGTCCATTTATGACTGGCTCTGCTTCCCATTTCCTTTAAGTCTCTTTCTCCATTCTCAAGACCCTCTTTCTAGCTTTGCAACCTATAAACACACTTATATAAACACACTACACACACACACACACACACACACACACACACACACACACAATTTTAAATTTAGGCTCTACACATGAGAGGGAATGTGAGTTATTTTTCCAGGTCAACTGAACGCATTTCCTGCAAATATCAGTTTCATTTTTCTTGATGGCTATATGAAATTCTGTTTATGTATGGACCATGTTTTCTTTATCCATTCATCCAGCATCCATGAACATCTGGGCTGCTTCCATTTCTTGACTATTTCAAAAACTTGGATGTGCAAGTATCCCTGTGGTGTTCTGAACTAGAGTCCCGCAGGCACATGCCCAGAGTGGTACTTTAGTATTGAAGAAGCCCCATGCTGATGTACATAGTGGCTGCCTCAGTTTCCACCTCACCAGCAGTGAGGAAGCATTCCTCTTTCTAACATCCTCACCAGCATTTGTTGTCCTATTTATTTATTTAGAGATAGAGTCTCACTATGTAGCCTGACTGGTTTAGAATTTCTGTGGAGACCAGGCTGGCTCACAGAGATCCACTTGCCTCTGCCTCCTGCATCCTGGGATTAAAGTTGAGCACTATCATTCTGACTGGGGTGAGATAGACTCTCCCAGCAATTTTGTTTACTTGTTGTTTTGTGTTTGTGCATGTGTGTTTGTATAAGAATATATATGTATGTAGTATGCAGGCATGTGCACCCATGTATATGCATGCATATGTTGTGGAGGTCAGAGGTCAACCTTGGGTGTTGTTCTCCAGTTGATCACAATCATTCCTGGTTTGTTTGTTTGTTTGTTTGTTTGTTTATTTATTTATTTATTTATTTTTGGTTTTTCGAGACCGGGTTTCTCTGTGTAGCTTTGCGTCTTTCCTGGGACTCACTTGGTAGTCCAGGCTGGCCTCGAACTCACAGAGATCCGCCTGGCTCTGCCTCCCGAGTGCTGGGATTAAAGGCGTGCGCCACCACCGCCCGGCCTCCTGGTTTATTTTTGAAATAAGGTTTCTCACTGGGACATAGGGCTCATCAGTTAGGCTAAGCTGAATGGCCAGGGAGCCCCAAGGGTTTGCCTGTTTCTACCTCCCCAGCGCTGGGTTTCTGATCCTGTACCACCATGCCTGGCATTTCCCGTTGGGGATCCAATTCCAGTCCTCAGGATTGCACAGCATGCGCTTTACCCAGCATGCACTTTATCAGCGGAGCTGCCCCCGTCCCCAAAGCACTTTTAATTCCCATCTCCCTGATGGCCAAGGATACCTTTTCAAGTGTTTTACTGGCTGTTTATGCTTCTTTGTTTTAGAACTGCCTGTTCAATTCATCATCCCATTTACTGATGGATAATTTGGGGCTTGGTGTTCTTTGTTGTAATCAATGTATCTTGTCAGATGTTCCGTTGGCGTGGATTTCCCCCATTCTGTGGGCTGTCTCTTCAGATCGTCTCTGGTGATTGCTTCCTCTGCTGTGTAGAAGCTTCCTAACTTCTGGGACTATTTCCTGTGCTGCTGGAGTCCTGATCAACAAGTCCTTGCCTGTGTTCACACCTTGAAGCATTTCCCTCCAACCCCTCCTCGCCCTTTTCTTGGCGGCGCCTGCTGCAGCTCACTCGGGTTTGTTTTGTGGCCGTCTTTCCTGCTTTTCTTTAGTTCATCGCTGTCTCCCAGTGACAGGAACCCAGAAGGTACTCAGTAAGGATGTACTGGATCCAGGAGCGGATGGCTGGGTGGGTCTGTGAGCGGGTGCCTGGGTGGCGGATGGCCGAGTGGGCAGGTGGGTGGGAGAATGAACATGTCAGCATGAGGTGCTTTATAGATATTGTCACTGATCCTCTTGGGTATCATTATTATGAGCTACAGATGAGGAACAAGATAGAGATGAAGTAACTTCACAAGTCACTGACAGAGAACAGTGGCCTAGGAAATCAGTTTTTAAAGCAAACTGTATTACATGAAAGGTCCGGTGTCCACATGAGAATGAACCCAGGGACCCCAGGGAGGTGACAAGTACGACCGGAGTTGGTGCCTTACAGCATGCTAGCCTAGGCTTTGCCTCCGCTCATCCCCACCCGGCCTCAGGCTGCAGACACTGGCTACCCTGGGACCTGAGAATGCCTTTTGACTTGAGAGTGTGAGTGGAGAAAAAGGCTTTTGTCTCCCCCCAAAGGCATCAGCTTTGTGACTCTGCTGCTCTTGATAGATACCCCAAAAGTCCCTTGCTCCATGGGAGGAGATGTCAAAGTGGAAAATCCTGTCCATGTAAACAAAAGCCTGTTGTGGACAGACAGGGAAACAGGGCTTCAGTTTAACTCAGGAGGCAGAGATATCCCAAACACCAACTTTTGGCTAGGTTTACTAAGGTGAGCCTGTGTTCTGTGCACATGACCATGTACGTGTTTGAGCAGAAGAGTGTGCACATTTGAATGTGTACGTCACTGTGGTGATATATTGTGTACCCTAATAAAATTTGCCTGAAGATCAGAGAACAAAACAAGCCACTCGATTAAACTCAGAGGCCAGGCAGTGGTGGCACACACCTTTAATCCTAGCACTTGGGAGGCAGAGATCCATCTGGATTTCTGTGAGTTCAAAGCCACTCTGGACTACATGAGATAGATTTAGTCTAGGAGAGAAAACAGAGCAAGGCAGTGGTGGCCACACCTTTAATCTCAGCACTTGGGAGTCACACACCTTTAATGGCTGGGTGGAGAAAGGTATATAAGGCCTGAGGAGATAGGAACTAAAGGCTTCTTCAGCTGAGAAGCCCTTTCAGCTAGAGAGCCTTTCCAGGCTGAGGAGTCCTAGAGATAAGACGTGGCAGTGGCTTGTTCCTTTGTCTCTCTGATCTTTCAGTATTTACCCCAAAATCTGGCTCTGGGTTTTTTATTAGAAAGACCTTTTAAGATTTGAGTTACATCTCATGACTAGTTGGGCCGTTCAGACACATACAATGGAAGATGCCAGGCTTTCAGCCAGAGAAACTCAGTCGCCCTCCAACCTCCCAGCTTGTGGTCTAAACATTTCTTCTTGAAGCCTGGCCCACCCAGGGCCATGTCTGAGACAGTGCATCTCACTGGCCACCAGGGCAGTGCCGACCGTGCATCTCACAGTGCATCTCTGGCTTCTGACAACATAAGGAGCTTGGGCCAGAATGTAAATCAGCTGCCTCATCAATCACATTGCTCACTTGAGCTGACAGTACTTACAGAAAGTCTTTCTCAACAAAGGAAGTAGCCAGCTGTTTATGCTCTGGCTCAAGCCTCTGGTCCAGGCTGTAACCAGCAGTTTGTAGGTCACAACTCCGAGTACTTCCAATGTCCACACACA